GTCTTAATACTGATGAACGCCAGTGTGAAAAAACTGAAAAATTGAAAAACAGAAGGAGAATATCTCGTCGAGTACCGAAAATTTCTTGCGTCCAGCACGTCTTTGGGCAGCCTTCGCAGCGCCTCTGCCACAACAGGATTTTCGTGATCCCTCACGTCGTCGGTGTAAAGCCCGTATTTATTAAACACGGACAAATTAAACGCGAGCTTCCTCATTTTAAATCTCCAATCCTTCCCGTTACCCGAGCTCCGACTTTCGCTCCGTTTAATTAACCTCGCGGGAATTCTGACCAGCGTGAATATCTTGGACATTTTCGAGGGACTGGGCTAACCTCGGTATTGACAGGGAACTCGTTGGAAAGACGATCGTTTCGTTCGACGTTCGACTCGATTAAACGAAACAGAGTAGTCCCGTTTGATCGAACTTTCACCCACCGATTATAACTTCTCCGTTGATCTTTCACCCGTGAACGTTCGCCCGTCTAATAGCCCTGGTGATTTCGCCGGCGGTAATTGAAAAAAGATTTCACCAACCGGTTTTCGCTTTAAACCCGGGGAAACGCCTACCGCCGAGCCAAATTTCGCATATCATTACGAGACAATGCGCCGTGGAAACTCGTTAAATTTCCTTCCTCCTTTGAAGGCTGCTTCTAATATTCGGCAAACACCGTAAGAAGAAGGTTGCGAGCGTGTCGCATGGAAAGATTAGAGAGACTCGGAGCGTCGCTTCGTTGAACGATCACCTACAGCGAGAAAGTTTAACTCTGTTTAAAATTCAGTTCCCGGTGTGTCGCGTAGATATACGTCCATTACGCAGGTAGACTCTTTCAATTTTTTCGTAGAAACTCAATTCCACGGGTGAACTCTCTAGTCTGGAGCCTGGGCTGTTTGTTGTGTTTAATAGATGAGGCATAAAGAGGGACGGTAACTCGTGTAGCAGAGTGGAATCCAATAAGTCAAGCCGTAAACTCTGATACACGCTCTTCTTTTTTTATCGCAGTCTAGCTTGAGCTTGAGTTAAACGTAGCGGGAGAATATCGTTGGAGATGTAATTGAGGCGTTTTGATGGGAAAAGGGCGCATACGATGAAATGCCGCTTCGAGGAAATCGATTTCGTCGTGTTATTTAGCCCTTTGACAGTCCAATCAAATTACGAATTGTGGTAAAAGAAAGGTATATATCTTGCACGTATTACATTCCGTCGTGTGTGATCATTTTTAAGAGAAGGGATACGTAACCCTATATGTCAATAATATTTCGTCCCTTTTTAATTAACACATTGAGCGCCGGCGACCTAAGAGACATTTAAAGCCTGAGCGCCGGCAACGTATCGGCCACTTGAAGCCTCATTCGCTTCTTTCTGATCAATGAGTAGCCAAAAAAAATATTCAAAACATTATACATTTTCGTAAATTAGTACATTTTAAAATAGTAAATGAAAAATAGAAAAAAAAAATAGAAAATATTCCACATCATCGCGGGGCCGGCGCTCAATGTGTTAATTTGTCGCTTTGCCCGAGTCTCGCGCGGGATAAACTGTCGAAGGGTTAATAAAATGTGCGCCCTTTTTACAATAAAAATCTCATTTCCCGATGGTCCACCAATTTCCCAATCTCCCTTTCGATACATTTTTCACTTACGACAGACCTAATACTCTCGGCACTTGTAAAACAATCGCAACTCGAGCGAGCCTCTTGCAGCAGCTACGTAATATTGGCAGTTTCGAGGCCATACTTTCTGGTTACCATCGGCGATATCTCAACCGGTCGTCCTCGAATTCGGTGCAAAGTGTTAAACATTAAAATACGCCGGTGGAGAAGGAAAATTATTCTCGCGCGCAGTCTTTCACGGGACGATTTATGGTAGAAGAGACGGTGTGCATGCATGTACACCGTTTCCTCTCGAAGATCGCGCATACACTTAGGAGTACGCGGACGTTACGCGAGATTTATGCGAACGAGTCGGTTGGTAAGGTGCCACCGCCGCCAGCTGACCACCCTTTTATCGTTCGCCCAGTTTCCGTTTCCATTGGTTGTAGTCGCTGCGCGCTTAGTCGTTTCCGCCGCAAGGAACTGTCGCCTTCGCAGCAACGATTTCGGACGCGCACACGCGTTATCTGCTCGGCCAGTCCTCCATTTTTCCTTCGTCGGAGTAATTCATACACGTCAGCGGGAACACGCGTGCAATTTACCGTGAGCTCAGAGCACGGACCCTCGCGTGTCACGACGACTTCAAACGGAAGGGAACTCATCCGTCTCGTTGCCGGCCGTTCCCTCCTCCACGAGATTCTCGCGAATTTCTAGTCGCCGAAGTGGCGAGGCGAAAGGGAGCGACGAAAAGTTATGGGGTTACGATAAAGGCGTTTCGTCGCTTCGGGGTATGGAAAAATTTTTGCCGAAGAGAATTTGATTTGGGAACTTGGAAATGTATCGATGGAGAATAATTATTGTATGCGAGAGGTTTTTCAGTTTGAGATATACGGAAAAATTGCGGGAGATCGTTTGAGAATTTGAGAGAGGAACGTGGTGACTTCAGAATCCATCGACAGAGAATAATAATTATATGCAAGACGATTTTCATTTCGAGATACACTACCGGCCAAAAGTTTGGAATCACCTGTCAATTTACATCAATATTCTAATACACTAATTCTTTATAAACTTGAAATTTATGTAGTGGATATTGGATTATGGGAGTTATTGGTTGTTAAATAATTAATAATCCTTATTTTAAACTATAAACTTTTTATTGGACACAAGGAAGGTTCGCTTTTCTACTTGATGGTAAGAGCACTGTCTACGGACCGAGAATTGGGACCGAAGGGCCTTTTGTCACGTATCATAAACATTTAGATTTTTACTAAATAAAAGTGGTAAGGCTAAACGGATTTCTCCGAACGTATACAAACGTAATATATACTTCCTAGTAAGGCGTTAGATTAATTTTTGTTTTATCTAACTGACTGATAAATCTAACAGTGGAAGCCAATAGCTCTTGACCTCATTTCGATTCATTTGAATGACAAAAAGCTCCTTAAAAAATTCTTAAAATTGATAACCTTTTTTTAGAAATTTTTGTGTAACTTGCAATGAACAATGATTCCAAACATTTGGCCGGTAGTGTATGTGGAAGAGACGAGTGAGATCCTTTGAAAAGTTCCCCTTGCGTTTCATTTCGGAATGTATAAAAACGTCGAGTGAAGAGAATTTGATCGAGCAAGTTGGATATGAATCGATAGAGAATAGTAATTATATGCAAGACGATTTTTCACTTGGAGATATATCGAAGAGTTGAGTGAGATCCTTTGAAAAGTTCCCCTTGCGTTTCATTTCGGAATGTATAAAAACGTCGAGTGAAGAGAATTTGATCGAGCAAGTTGGAAATGAATCGATAGAGAATAGTAATTATATGCAAGACGATTTTTCACTTGGAGATATATCGAAGAGTCGAGTGAGATCCTTTGAAAAGTTCCCCTTGCGTTTCATTTCGGAATATGTAAAAATGTCGAGTGAGATCGTTTGGGAGCTTGACAGAGAAACGTAGTCACTTATGAAGTACTTGACAAAGAACGACAGTTATATTGAAGAAGTTTTTATTACCCTTGAAAAATATAAAACCTTTCCCTTGAATTATACACAAGCATAAGTGATACACTTTTTAATACTTCCCTGTACAGGGATCCCGGAAGAATACCCGAAACGTTCACCCCTCGAGGAAACGAATCGTCGAAGGTCCAGCTGCGGTTCCAGTAAATCTCGAGCGTCTCGGTCACGAAGGGTAAGTGTTCCTCCTCTTGAAAGAATACTTCCCGAGAGACGCAACCCTGTCTCCTCTCGTAACAGCATGCGAGAAACTATCGAGAATTATTCTCCCTCTGTCTGGTTTCAAATAAAATTAAACCATTATTTCCCTGGTTCTCCTTATCCCGCGCTGTATCGATTTCTATCGAATAGAATAATAAGGCCAACCGAACCACTTCGCCTTTTTACGAACCAATATACCACTTTTCGCCGTCTCTCCTATTTCCTCTCGGCGGATCGACGAAGTAATTCGAGAGACTGTCCCTCAGAGTAGACACCGGGAGATGGAGAGGAGCTCGTCTTTCGACCGGGCAATTCTCCACGGAGTTATGGTCGGACCGCTGGACGAATAAAATACGAAACGCGGGTAATCCGTGGAGAATAATCCGCGCGCGGAAGTAAAAAGAGGAGAGAATTCGTTGGTTGAAATTTTCTATCGAAATTCTCCTCTGCCCGTTTACCGTATCGATATTTCTCGTTATCGCCCACCAGAGACTCGTGGAAATTTTTTCCTCCACGAAGCCGTGGAAAAAAATGTCGAACGTTCCAGGACTTCTTTAAAGCGAGCAACCGGCGACTAAAGGAGAACGAACGAGTAGGCAGGGTGAAACGCGAGTCCGGGATCATTCGGTCACGAATTAAGCAAAATATTATATGTACATATGTGATACGTCGCTGATTAAACGATCCTATTTAATACGATCCGCGTACGCGGTTAATTTGATCATCCGAACTTACGATTAAATTGATAATCAGCATATTAGCGAGAAACCGTTTTGCTCGTGAAATATGCATTGTGTGTCGAAACGTGATTAATTAAGAAACGAACGCGTGCTACCTTCAATTTCACCAGATACAGTCCTGCATTTGCCCATCGTTAATCCTCTGTCTGTGTGTATGTAATAATTGTAATAACAGGTATATTTCACCAGCGTGATCTTATTACCACGTTCGAAAGCGTCGGTCCATTCGTTCGTTCCTTCGTTTCATTCCCGTGACGTCCGTCGAAAAATCTCACTGTGGATGAGCGACGAGCTGTGTAATAACTCTCTTCCTCGCCTCATCCTTGACGGAAACATCCCTCGAGCTGCCACTGCTTTATCTCGAAACTCTAACAATCATCCGCGATTTTTCCTCTATTTTTCGAGCTTAGATGGTTCACGTGTCGGGGAGGAATTAAACTTGACACGATCTATGCTTGGCTATCTACTTTATTTCAATCGAAAAGAAGTACACTTTGGAAAGGAGAATTTCTAACGAACGTAATACAGGTTTCTCGTAGGTAATTAGGCTTTGACGTGTGATTTCTAATCCTTGTACCAGTTACGAGAGTAGCGAGGATCGGCATCGCGACGGCGTTAGCTAGAAAACAAAAGAAAGAGATGGAACGCGTGGATCGAGGCTAAGTTTGCCGTTTGGATCGGAAGCTTACTTGGAGACTTGGACAGAGAGGGGGACTCCTTCTTTCACGCCTACATCTACTGCAGATCTGCGAACGATCTTTAGAATAGGGTCGGAGTGTTTGACAGAGACGGGGCCTCTTTTTCTCACGTCTACATCTACTGTAGATCTGCGATCGATCTTTGGAACAGGATCAGAGACTCTGACAGAGACGGGGACTCCTTTTTTCACGTCTACATCTACTGTAGATCTGCGACCGATATTTAGAATAGGTTCGGAGTGTTTGACAGAGACGGGGCCTCTTTTTCTCACGTCTACATCTACTGTAGATCTGCGACCGATGTTTAGAATAGAGTCGGAGTCTTTGACAGAGTCGGGGACTCCTTTCACGTCTACATCTACTTCAGATCTGCGACCGATCTTCGGATCATGGTCGCGGCCTTCTTTTTCCACGTGCCGGGGATGCTCTGCGATATGTGAGTTTACAGGCTCTAGTTGCTGCACAATGTTCTTCAGGTTCTGGAAAAATGACACACGTACAGTACTTAACCCTCTATGGGCCGAATATTTTTCTTGACTGTAAAAGAATTTATGTAACGTAAAATTAGCAAATATCGACCTATAAAGTACAGAATAACAGTGAATTCAGCAGTTTCGACAATTTTATCATAACGAATACATATTGTAACTTTGAAGTAACAACGGTTATCAAGAAAGTTACTGGTTAATAAGGAGACATTGTACAACAAGACGTTTGTGCCATTTTGTGGAAGAAAGTTCAATTATTTAATAAAATATCGATATATTAGTATGTGACTTGAAAGTTACACGGGCCCATACAGGGTTAACACACTGGCGTCGGATTCGTCGAGATTTTCACTCGTTCTCATCCGTCTGAAAATTAATTTATAAAACGCTGCAGATGAATTTCTCTTCGGAAATGCCACAGCAGATGTTTCACGAATGAAATGAAATTTCTTTGAAAAATATTCATCAGTTGCAGCAGTTTTTTCCCAGCGTAAAGAAATAGACGCGGAATCACCCGTATTCTTATCAAGTGCTCCAAACGCCTCGACGCGAATGTGTTGAGATAGTTTCGCAAGAAAAGAATCGAACTTACCGATAGAGGGTCGATCGGGAACGACCCCTTTCCGATGTCCTCCATCAGTTTCCCTAAGTTCTTCGCAATCCGCTCCATTGTATTCAAAGAATCTAGGACTATCCTTTCCGGAATGAAAATGTCTCTAAGTAAATCCTCCACAGGCTTCCCATCATGGCCGAATACACCGGTAAAGACGGTGCAGCAAACTGCGAAAAGAACGGTTGCACGAGTTATCGTATTCATCTTGATGAAACTGTTAATTCGAACGTTTCACCCGAGCTTTTTATTCGATCCTAGACAAAAGCAGGATTACGCGGCGAAAGAATAATGTGACAGGTGTCTAGAAAGAGTTATTGCATCGATGATTCAATATTCTCGAAGCTTACCGCAACTTAATAGCCGCGTTGGTTAATTAACGTTTGCACAGTCTGTTGTTCGCTGCAACTACGACGAATACTATTGAAAAATGGCTGAAATATTGCGGTAAATTAAACACAGGTGGAACGGTACGTCTGAAACGGTGACATTTTTCTAGGAAAACACAGAGAAATGTCGAAATGTCGGAAGACGGATAGTTTGGAAGAATACGCACAAAGGGAACGAAAACAATTCTTCCAAGCGACTCTTTCGGAAATTTTCCTCGAACGACAGCAGGATTTCCGGTGAGGCGAACGTTTCGCTATAGCGAGTAGCCGATGCACGCTCGCGTATCCACGAGAAAAGGGTATAACTTGTGTAAGAGAGTGGAGGGAAAAGTTGATCGAACTATCGTCGTTTTTCATGCAACTTTTCTGCTTTTCCCCTTTCGCCAACACTCGGCCATTCGTAACATTTTCGCGTGAAACTTTATCGTTTCCCGATCATAACGTGGCCTCCCGCGCACTCCCTTTTCGGAGAAACTGAAACGATCGGTGAAACGAAGGCAGTGCTTTCCAACGATATTAGACCTCGAGTAGCACTTCCAAGGAAGAAACTCGCACCTTTTCAATCAACATACTCTTGTGTCGCTGCTATTCTCCTCCTGCGAGAGAGACAAGAAAATTCGAGCTTATCCTTTGGGAAACCGACGCGTTTTCTCTTCTCTCCGCAAGACCATCACGTACGGAGCTGCTTCGGGATCTTTCTGACGAGCTAATTGTGAACGAACCTTAACACGCCAAGAGACGTGCTGAATTTTAATGTGGTACGTTTCTTGAACGGGTGTGGGAGTCTCGTGGCGAAAGAATGGGAGCACAAAGAGGCTTTCTAGCTATAGCAGAAGTCGGTGAAATAAGTACTATTGACTCTCCTACTTTTTTTTTTTTTCAACAATAGCGTATGAGAAACATCGATGGCTACTCTATTCATGGTTCCGACAATAGGCAGGGAATTGGTCGATTTTGAGTTACGTTTCTTCTCCTTTCTTGTCGAATTCTTTCTAGATCCATAGCTTGGAGAATATTTGTTTCTAGTGTTTCGTCGGAATTTTAAAAAATAGCAAATTTATCGAGATTTAAAGAGACGTCTGAGACATTACAGAGGGAAATGAAGTGAAATGGAATTTAAATGGGAATACATCGGTAGCGGAGTAAGATCGCGTGCAAAGTTACGTTTCTTCTCCTTTCTTGTTGAATTTTTCCCAGATCCACGGCTTAAAGAATATTTGTTTCGAGTGTTTGGTCGAAATTTTCAAGAATAGCAAATTTATCGAGATTTAAAGAGACGTCTGAGACATCGCAGAGGGAAATGAAGTGAAATGCGGAGTAAGATCGCGTGCAAAGTTACGTTTCTTCTCCTTTCTTGTTAAATTTTTCCCAGATCCACGGCTTAAAGAATATTTGTTTCTAGTGTTTCGTCGGAATTTTAAAAAATAGCAAATTTATCGAGATTTAAAGAGACGTCTGAGACATTACAGAGGGAAATGAAGTGAAATGGAATTTAAATGGGAATACATCGGTAGCGGAGTAAGATCGCGTGCAAAGTTACGTTTCTTCTCCTTTCTTGTTGAATTTTTCCCAGATCCACGGCTCAAAGAATATTTGTTTCGAGTGTTTGGTCGAAATTTTCAAGAATAGCAAATTTATCGAGATTTAAAGAGACGTCTGAGACATTACAGAGGGAAATGTCGAAGTGAAATGGGATTTGAATGGGAATGCATCGGTAGCGGAGTAAGATCGCGTGCAGCTAAGAAGCGTTTCTCGCAAATGGAAGTGCAATCGGAAGTTTCGAGCTGCGCGCGTGTACGGAGCCGCGATATTTCGGTCAGCAATTACTGCGACCGGAAATGGAACGGTGGCCATCGCGTCCTGGTGGCGAATGAAGCGTGCAAGGCAAATCGATGCCCGGGTTCCAGTAAATTTGATTCGGTCCCCTCGCTTCGATTTATTAAGAAACTTGTGAATAAATCGCTTAGCGACAGATTGAACGGGGTGAAATTACCCTCTCACGAGTAGTTCCGCCGTTTATGATTATATCGGGGACGGATCGAAAGTCGATGGAGTGGACGATTGAAAGGACGTGGAAACGTTTTCATTCACCTTGCTTTTTTATTGTCTTTCAACCGGTTAGGTACAGGCTGCAGAACAAAGAGTGTGGCAACGTTGTGCGCATTTTGCAATTGCTAAATGAATTATTATCGTCGAGGAGTGTGCGTGTTTATACAGACTCTTGTGCTTTTCTATACTCGAACACGCTGCCGCGTTCGAGGAACTTGGACGAGTTCCTTTGGACCGGCGGAACCTTCTGATCTGGCCAGCCGTAACCACCGCCTCCCGGAGTTTCCAGGATGAATGTGTCCTGGGTGAAAAAAGAAACGGCGAACTTGAGCAAAGTTTAAACGAAATTTACCGTTTGCCTCGTTCTTTCGTGCTTTTTCTCGCGAAAAATGAAATTGGAAATCGTGGAACGAGCAAAGCAAAGTTACAGACCAAAGCTCGTATTCCATTTTCTTCGATACAGCGCGAGATATAGCTTCGTAGAGTATAGTTTGGTTTTTCCAATAACAACACAGGTAATATGCACGTAAATTTTTTAAACTACACACACATACATATACGCGGGCAATAATAAGTTGCAAACAGTATGAATCGTATCGTTGGAGATCAAATCTTTTACGATTCGATGTAAAACGCGAATAGGTTGCTCGATGTTTCGCCTCTCTCTCTCTCTCTCTCTCGAAATCGAGATCCTCACCTTTGTGATTTTTACAACGTTGCGTAAATTTTTACGCGATTCATTCCGCGGAGAAATGTCGACTGTAAAGGATACCGGTGTTCTTACCCCTGGACACACAGGTACCGCGGTCTTCGGACCCAAGTTGATCCTTCTTCCGTCAGCTCGTTGCAGCGTGTTCCTTCCTCTCTGCGCTGGCTGTCCTCCTGCTAAACCCGGTGGATTATTCACTCTTCTTTCCGTTAACACGGATAGCATCATAGGTGCTCTGCGAAAGAGAAGATTCTCTTAGATAGAGTATCGTTTAACAGGATCGAAACGCGATTCGATCACCTGAAAGTCATTTCTCTAACGACTCCGTCGCCTCCAGGATGAGCTCCAGCTCCTCCGCTTCCAGGACGAAGAGAGAATTTATCGAGAATCACGGGATAGCGAAGTTCCAATATTTCTGGGTCGGTGATTCGCGTGTTTGTCATGTGCGTGTGCACTCCTCCTCTTCCGTCCCACGTTGGTCCCTTTAACAATCGTTCGATGAAGAAACATCGTCTCTGAAGAGATAAGAAGCGGAGGTTTTCACATTCTTACTGCTCCACTGCCGCCAGCGACAGTTTCGTAATATCCCCACTCTTCCGTGCCTAGTGTCACGTTATTCATGCAACCTTGCGAGGCTGCACAAGCTCCGAAAGCTTGGAGAACGACGTCCACCACGCGTTGAGACGTGAGAACGTTGCCACCTACCACTGCTGCCTCTTCTGAAGGGTTCAACAGAGAGCCTTTGGGAATAATTACTTGAACAGGCTTGAGACAACCCTGAGAAGAAGGTAGAATGCAGTGAAATAAACTGCAAAGTGAATAGCACTTGAAGACAGATGAATCTTACTTGATTCAGAGGAACATCTCTACCGACTATACACCTTAAGCAGTAAATCAGCGCTGAAAGAGTGATTGCACGAGGTGCGTTGCAGTTTCCCCACACTTCGTACCCTGTACCACTGAAATTTTCGTTCTTTCTTCAAGTAACACACTCTGATCGATCAATTTCATTCGTACCGATAAAGAGAACTCACGTGAAATCACAGACTGCTTCGCCTTTCTCTACATCGATGCTCAAACTGAACTTAATAGGGCTTCCATCGTCTAAATAATCTACAGCAGTTGCCACGGTGTTTCCAGTGTTTTCAATCAATTTTCTACCGACAGACTTCAGCATATCTCTCACAGCAACTTCAGCATTGTGCTGAATGTGGCCCATGTACGCTTGCACCACGTCGAGACCGTATATATCGATCAGTTCGTTGACTAGGAGCGATCCCTGCGATGGGAAATTTAGGAAAAATTGAGAATGAGAAACGAGGAATATGATCGTGATAGTTACTTTGTGATTAGCTGCAATTTGAGCCTTCAAATCGCTCAGGTTATCGGTCAGATTTCTCGTTCCGGAGCTTCCTGGGATCTTCCCAGGAGCCATCAGCTCTTCCGTCAATTCTTTCTCCCTGAACACGCCTTTGTGCACCAACAGGAAGCTCTTAAAGGTCGCTCCTTCCTGAAAATGACAATAACGCGTCAAAACGGAGATTTGGAATTTTCGCAAAATTCTCGTACCTGAAGCAAAGAAGTAGAATGTGGCGGCATGGATCCAGGCGTGATTCCTCCGATATCAGCGTGATGCCCTCTGCTTGCCACGAAGAACACCGCTTTCTCCACGTCCCTCGAAGAAAAACAGCCCAATTCAACGCGTAAAACACAAATTACCATCTCTAAAAATCCCCGAGAAACGGAAGAAAAAGAGAAATACTTGTAGAAAACCGGAGTGATGACGGTAAGATCAGGAAGATGCGATCCACCGGCGGAAGGATGATTCGCCAGAATCACATCTCCCCTCGAGAATTCTCCCTTGAAAACTTTCATCTGAAACTGCACAGTCTCTTGCATGGCGCCCAGGTGTACAGGTATATGTGGAGCGTTGGAAACGAGCCCTCCGTCGGGTCCGAAGACAGCGCAGGAGAAATCCAGCCTCTCCTTGATGTTGGTCGAAATGGAGGTTCTCTGAAGGATCCTTGAAGGCCAAGATCCGAATTTACGAGAGACTGAAACGCGGGTAAGTCTTATCGTCCGACCTACCTGCCCATTTGCTCGGCGATGCTCATGAACCGGTGAGAGAAGATGCTCAGTTGAATGGTGTCCAATTCGGTCGTGACCTCGGTCCTCAGGCCTTGACCGATCGTTATCTTCACGTCGCCTCGGGGCGTGATCGATGCGGTGCAATCAGGTTCGATCAGAAGGGTGCTCAAGCTGTCCATTATAATGGCTGGCCCGTGAATCTCGTGGCTGCGAGATAGACCGTGCAATTGGTACACTTTGGTCTCGTGGTAGCCGCTCTCGAAATAGACCATCGTAGTCTATAGACGGATGTTTCGTTAGTTGTTTCTTCTTTCTTTAATAATTTCTTTAATTAAGTGCTTTTATCTCTTGCGCTTGCCTTTTCTAATTTCGGCAGCTCGCTGGGAGGAGGAAGAATTGGATCATCCTCGACGTCAGTTTTTCCTACGCCTCTCACTCTTATGTCGTTCACCAGGATCTTTCGATTGGGCATAGTGAAACCGAACTCTATTTGATACCTTGATTAATTCAGATTATTGTTAGGTTTTTTCTGTATTTTTGGGAATAGGAGTTTTATCGAACGGAGTTTCACCTTTCCAAGAACGTAGCGAGGAAGTTTCCGTGTCTCGTGCCTTTGTTTTCGGAATTTTTGCCGGGAGTGCACATCAGAGCGCAGTCTGTGCCCTGGTAACGCAAGTGTAGAAACGGTTCGGTGACTATTTGGGAATCTGTGAATCCCTGAGCGGCTAGTTTGGCTCGAACTTTCTTCTCCAAGGCGTCCATGCGTTTGTCCAATCGTGAGAATGATTCTGAGTTGAAACAGAAGAAATTTTAAAGATTCGTCGCGTTAGGAATTCTCTAGATCGTGTACCTTCTTCGTAAACTTCTGCGCTGGGTTCCTGAGCTTCCTCAACCACGTCAGCCAATGCCATCCCGTAAGCCGACAGGATTCCAGCGTATTTGTGAACGAAAACAGTTCCCATTCCTAAGGACCGTGCTATGGCACACGCGTGCTGTCCTCCGGCACCGCCGAAACACGCTAAAACATGTCGAGATGTGTCGTAACCCTTTGCCTGTTTCAAAACACAGAAACGGTGTTGGAATAAATGGACGTTTATGCAAATTTCCATATATTTGACACTGTACCTGTGTCAAAGCTCGTATAGGCCTACACATGGTTTCGTTAGCCACTCTGACGAACCCCATCGCCACTTCTTCGACGCTCATTCTACCACCGTGACTCTTCTCCGCTAAAAATTCGTTTATCTACAAAGCAAAGTTCTCCGTTTAAACGAACGATTATCATTGGATAATTTTTCTAATTTCCTAGCTGAGAAACGGAACGTTCAGTACTTGATTCGTGAGAATTTCGAAAACTTCCATAGTTCGCGACTTGTCCAGCGGCTCGTTCTCATTCGGGCCAAAAATCTTGGGGAAATACTCGGGCAGAAGTCTTCCCAGAGCGAGGTTCGCGTCGGTGACAGCCAAAGGACCGTTCTTCTTGTAGCAAGCCGGTCCGGGATGAGCCCCGGCGCTCTCGGGTCCAACTTGGAACAGTCCCGACCTGAAGAAAAGCATCGATCCACCTCCTGCCGCAACTGTGTTCACGTCCAACTTCAACCCAATTTCGAGACGTTTGAGAAGGTCGTATCGATTGTAACGCCGAATGCATTAATTACGAGATTAACAATTCGATCGAGGTGCAAGATTTTTTCACTTCGTTCGCCAGACTTTCTCAGAAATTCAACGGCTTGAAGAGGATTTCTCTTGGAAAATTGAACGAGATTGAAGAGTATAGGTGTACCTGTGCAGCTTGGATCGTGACACCCGCGGTTGTGCTCTCGTAAACGTGTTCGTAGCTGCCGCCGAAACGACTCACGTCTGTCGAAGTGCCGCCCATGTCGAACCCAATCACCGGTAAATCGGTCTCTTTGCCGTAAGTGGTGATCGCGTAGCCAACGACCCCGCCTGCGGGGCCGGAAAGGATGGCTCGAGATCCGTTGAATCTACGAAAGAAGTAATTAAATCAACTCTTCCCCTCAGTTTCTCCGTCAATTTCCATGCACTCACGAATTCATCGGAGTCAGTCCACCGTCGCTCTGCATGAATAATACGTTCACGCCTTTCAGTTTGTCTTTGAATCCAGAAGAGAAACCCTGAAGCAATGCTTCGTTATTTCCCGAAGGAATGAAATCGACGTAGTAAAAAAATACCTGTAGATATTGTTTAATGTGAGGTGTTAAGTATGCATCGGCGCAAGCGGTGAATCCTCTAGGGACTATTCTCGCCATTGGCATAACTTGGTGAGAAAGCGACACTTGAGAGAAGCCAGCTAGTCTTGCTAGTTCGCCTACTCGAATCTCGTGCTCGGCGTATCTAGAATACATAAACGAAACGTTAGTAAAAAAATGTGAAACATAGCGGAATGTAGGAATTTTGATTTGCAAACGACTGACGTGAAACTGTGCGCGAGGACAACGGCCAAACTTTCGATTCCAGATCGTTTCAGCTCTTCCAAATCCCGTTTCAGTCTTTCCTCGTCGAGCTCTTGAGTCACGAAGAGATCTTCACCTGTCGAACCCTTTACTCTGCGCCACTCTTTATTCTCTAACTGACATTTACCTGGCAGTGCAGGTATCACTCTACATCTAACTTCAACTACTTCTTTGTACAACACTTCCGGTGTGGCTACTTGCTAAAAAAACAAACAAGACGCTGATTTGCACAAAATGTTGAGCCTGTAGAAAGATATAAGATCGGATTTACAGACGAACCAGGTCGAATATATTCGGTCTCGCTTGGTTCCCGATAAAAAGCAGATCCCTAAATCCTCGGTTAATCAAAAGTGCCATTTTCGCGCCTTTCCTCTCGAGCAGAGCGTTCGTCGCGACCGTGGTGCCCATTCTGATCCACGATATCAAGGACGCGTCGATCTCTCCCTCGATTCTCTTCCCGGTTTCCTGAAATTACTCCACGTGAACCACGTCGAATCGCGGCAATCCCATCAACGAGTAGTAGTACCTGTTGCAGAATTCGCCGAATCCCTTCGCGCGGCGCGTCCTCGTAATTAGCAGGATCCACCGACAGCAATTTCATCACTCGAATCTTGCCGCTTGGACATCTGGCGTACACGTCGGTAAACGTGCCGCCGCGATCTATAGCGAACTCGAACTTCTCTTGGTCCATATTCTATCGTGTACGACACGTCGTTGGAACGAGCTATCGCGATACGTCTCTCGGTGCGAAACAGTCGAATGACACTGTTTCGTCGGACGGTGATTAAGAGCTTCTGAAAGCTGGTTAAATTGTCGGCCCGATAAGATCTCGGCTGCCTGATAAGACACGGAATTCACAGGACCCCGAGAATGTACACATAACAGAGTAAACAAGGTGGATTATTCGGTGGACGGGATGGACGATTCGAGAAAATTTTCGAAGTAGCTGAAATAGAAGTGTGCGGGTGACGATGATCAGGCACGGTGATTAACAACGATATCTCCATTAAGTGGCTAATTCTCGTTTAGCTTCTCCTCTTTTGACATACTCGACGACACTTCTTTATTTAACTCGAAGGTGTTGCTTCGTGCCAAGTATCCTCTCGAATCGCACACTCGACAGCAGCAGCACCGTAGCGGAACCCGACGCAGTTGTGTACTACTAGTGTTTTTCCATTTCCTCGCAGCGATAGCGAGCGTTGCGTAACGAGATGATCGCGAGCCCGCCGCCGACCGCACAATTCTTTCGCACCGAGTCTCATAACGGTTCTCAGTCGTGGACGACGATTGAGGTTAGGTCGGTGCGAGAGATATCATCCTGAGTTCATTTTCTATCGAGAGTTTATCGTCGAATTTACAGAATTTTCCCTCGAACAGAACTGTTTTTCTTTTTTCCTTTCGAGGCAGATTTTTTGGAGAAGGTAGAATCGACAGGTTCTGCTCCGTGTCGAGTGTTTCCTTTTCAAATGAATCTCTCGTTCGATCATAGCTCGTGTGACGTTAGATCTGATACTACGTTAGGTCTGATAACGAGGGGGGTTACTGTACTCTCTGCGCGGAGACTGCGCAGCAACGTGCTCGTAATAGAGACAATGCAACGGGTGGGCGTGAAATAAGGCAGCTCGATGGTACAAAGTCCAGTTGAAATTGCTTTTTCTCAACAAGGGGACAATTTATTAAACTACGACGCGGCGTTTCATTTTACATACATACAGAGTATCGTACAGAGTGACAGTCGCTTATCGTGTCTCGTTACACACCTCCACCTCTGGGAAAAAAAAAAGGGGGGGGGGGGGGGAATTGTTAATTTACGCTAACGTTTACTTCTCACGAGCTTTTTCTACTTCGGGATCACCGAGTACCGATGCTCAAGCTCGTAGAATGGAATAGGTTGTAAAAGATATACGTGTGAATACGCGGCATTTCGTCTAGTTAATGTCACGATAGGAAGAAAACTCGCGGAGATAGGCGAAAAAGAAGATCGAGTAGACTCTTTTTCTCTCGTCAATAAATAAGAATTATACATAATAGAAAATGTGAAGAATCGAGATTGTTTATACTTTGATCGTGTTTCTTTTTTAAACCGTTCACAATCGAACTTTTCCCTCGTGGATGTTGTTGTATATCTGTTCGGTGAGCTTGACGTAGACGCCAGGTGAATCGAGGAAATAGATCGGATCTGTGATCTAGAAACAGAATTTGCAGGTGCTGTATCGTTTTCCAGCGTTGAACAGTGAAATTCCGAAATTACCTTCTTAATGTTGAATCCCTCTTTTTGAAGGTCCTTTTTCTTCAACTTGAACGTACCTGATTGTAGGAATAAATTTTAGTATTAAGTTGTATGTATCGGGATCGTGAATGTGTTAGAAGTGATTGCAATAATTTCACCAGTCATCGGTAGCTCCGATAAAACTCGAACGAAAAGAGGTCTCGCGTACGATGGCAAAGCCTTCTTCAAACCTTCCGCCATTTCTTTGATGTTGAGAGAATTCTCTGGATCGTAAAT